CAGTCTAACAAGAGTTAGATCCAGCCTTAATAACCGAGATTTAATCTTTAGTTAGGAATTGGATTTAAGAGAAGAAATTGGTAATAAATTATTAAAATTTAATCGTATGTTTTGGTAAGTTAATTATAGTTATAATTTTTGTGAGGAATTAAGAAAATTAAATAAAAAATAGTGATTATTGGTAGTAATGTAACAAGAGTTTAATTTTGGGTCTATCATCGAAATCATTTCCTGAAAATAAATATTTTAGGGGCAAGGCATTACACCTATGGTTTCTCATTTTATTGCAGTCAAACGTATCCTGAGGTATTTAAAGGGTACTCTTCATCATGGCATCCATTATTCAAAGGGATCCATGCAATTAAAGGCCTTTAGTGATGTTGATTGGGCAGGAAACCCTAATGATAGGAGGTCTACTACTGGCTTGGCTGTGTTTTTAGGGAACAATCCTATTTCTTGGTCTTCCAAGAAGCAATTGATAGTCTCTCAATCCTCCATAGAGGCTGAGTATCGAGCCTTGTCATCCACTTCTGCTGAAAATAGACTGGATCAAGCAACTGTTAGAATTTTTGCAGGTTCCTTTCTCCTCAACACCTGTTTTATTCTATGATAATTTGTCAGTCATTGCTTTGGCTTTTAATCCAGTTCAACATCAACGCACTAAGCACTTAGAGGTTGATGTTCACTTTGTGCGTGAAAGAGTTGATAAGAAACAGCTATCTGTCCAGTTTGTGTCATCCAAGGAGCAGTTTGCTGATATTTTGACCAAATGATTGAGTTCTCCTTTGTTTCATGCTCATTGTAACAATCTCATGCTCTGTACATCAAAGCATGAGTTTGCGGAGGGATGTTAGAGTGTAGAATTTGATGTATGAGACATATCTCAACCCTGTATTACTTGGATATTAAGAAATATAACAAGAATATTCTTCTTCTCTCTCTAAGTTCTCTCTCTCTCTCTCTCTCTCTCTCTCTAAGTTTTCTGCATTCTTCTTCTTTGTTTCATAAGATTGATCTTGGTTAACAACGGACCCATCACTCTTCAATGGGTAATGCTAAGGAGACCAAATTTGCAAACCAAATTTACAAACCAAATGTTGTGGTTGTTGATGATTGGATTATTACTTAAGCGTTGATTAACATGCTTATTTCCTATTGGTGACACATCATTTAATTTGCAAATTTGGTTTAAAACTTTGGTCCCCCTAGCATTACCCCTCTTCAATTAAAGAGGGCCTTTATTTACCTGAAGGGCCTTGTTCAACCTAGGGTCAACCTTCAAGGTGTTAACAAATCAAAAGGCGAAAAGAAGAGATCGATATTGATTGCAAAACTCTGAATCTTATTTTATAGACAAAAGAAAAAAAAATCAGAACAATTGTCAAGAACGACTACACGACACAAATGCAACATCTTGCCAAAACATAATTTGGAACAAACAGGAAAGCACTCTAACCTTAATTAGTAGAAAATATGAAATAAATTAAACAATCTTTGTTGAACAATCTTTTTTCAACACCACTCACCATCAAGCCAATAGTGGTATTCAACGTTATAAGTTTGCTAAGAGAAGCCGATGAGTATGCCCTTCTTGATACCCATGCCAATGCTGATGTAAATTTTTATTGCTAGTAGCAATGCCAGTGTCAATGTCAATGAAAGCTTCTAACCCCAATGCGAACTTCCCATGTCAATGCAAACTTTCATTGGCAACACTAATGTCAATACCAAATAACATAAAATAACAAACTGGTGCCGAGCGAAGATAAAGCGGGTCAACATCCATCCTAGACAAGCACAAGCAACCAATGTATGTCCAAAGACTCCAAAGTAAGCACCACCTTCATTTTCGTGACGAACATCATCCTAGACCAAAGGCGGAACTACAATCAGAGACTAAGGTGGCCTGTAGCTCAAGGGGGAAAAGTTTGAAAAATTATGACTAATTTCTAGACCTCCTAACCATTTTGCATGAATTATCCCAACCTACTAACAAGAAATTAGCCACCCAACAACTCAAAATTCTCCGAAAATGGAAACCAGACTAATGCATTGAAACTTCTTGTTAAAAAGAAAATAAGGAAACAAACTTATACGTTTGCAGGAAAGAAAAATTATTAGCCCACCCTTGATAAAGTTCCTAATTCCGCCAACATGATCATGATTCACTTTTACATTTTCCAACAGGACAAACAGAAAAACAATCTTTGTAGAACAAGTATACCAAATCCACAATGACAAGACTAACTTAGAAAACAAAACAATCTCCCAAAAGTTCCTAACTTTATATTTTCCAACACTTGAAAATTATTAACCCTCGGGTTTGGACGACAACAAGTCAACACTAAACGTTTCCATGATAGTTCTTTTGATGATTATCTTGAGTACAACAGTACAAGCACGATCATTGACGCTATAAATCCACATATGTTATAATATAACTAAACAACAAAATGTGTTTAATATTCTTGAAAAAATCGTTGTGACTTAAGACACACAACACATAGAAGTGGCAAGGTCAGTTCCATCTCTCTCACTCTCTTTTTAAAATTCTCTTTTGAGTTCGGATTGATATTCTAACTAGGCAATCACACATCATCTGCAAATTTGCCAACTTAAAATTCTTAAATCCCGATGCATGCATCACAGCATCATCGTCTGTGTGATGCAACTTCTATTCGTGAGCGTCTTCATCAAACACCTAATTATATCAAGTTTGACATCATGCTTAAGTTCCTCTCAAATTTGTAACAAAGGGTGTTTTCGTCCACAAATAAAAACCCACAGTCTCTTAACTTAATTTTTTAAAGGGTTTTTTATTAGCATTCCACATAATGTTGAATAACCTCACATTAAAATTTATTATTAAATTACATATATACCCTAATATGCAATGACTATTTAGGCATCATAAAGTTTTTTTTTTTTTTTTAATAAAACTTTTAAATGCATCCCAATCACTTTTATCATGTATATCTCATTATTATTTTTCTCTTCAAGCTCTGAAAAAGTCACTTCCACCCTCCACTATAGAAAAAGAAAAAAAAAAAAAAACTCTAACTAACCAATAAAAGTACAAATACTTTGATTGAAAAAAAAAAATATTTTTGACAAATTAAACATGAAACCAACGTTTTAAAAACTTAACATGAGATAAGACTTTATAATTTTTCTTTGTTTTAGAGCAAGTCCACCAAGGCTTGCTTTGCCCAGGACCCAGCACAAAAAACAGACTGGCGCTCAGTCAATTTGCTTCAGCCCACAAAGTTGCCTGGCACCCAGCCCATGCCAGGCAACAGACCAGCCCAATTTTGACAGACCCAAGAGCCGGCCTATTTGGCTGGCGCGTGCACGACACTCGCGTCCAGGGCGAGTAGTCGACAAGCTTGCAGAGGGCTGTCAGCCCACTTGTGCTCCGGAGTGACGCGGCATGCTCATAGCCGTTGGATTTCCAACGGTAAAAAAAATTTAAATTTGACTTTTAAAATGGACCGTTCGATCATAGATCAATGGTCCACGTTAATTAACTAAATTAAAATTTATTAAAAAATACAGAAAATTTAATTTTTTTTTTCTATAAATACCTGACCCTCATCTTCCACCTTACACCACATTTCAATATTTTCTACACTTTCTACCAAAGCTTTCATATACTTTTTGTGTGAAAAAAAATACCAAAAAGCTTGTGGTTGAAGAATAAAGAGTATTTGATGAGTTTATGTAATTTCATTTTAGTGTGTTTTTTTTTTATAGTTTATTTGATGAGTTTATGTAATTTTATTTTAGTGTGTTTTTTTTTTAAGTTTATTTGATGAGTATGTAATTTTATTTTAGTGTGTTTTTTTTTTTAAGTTTATTTGAAATTTTATCCGAAATTGGTTAAAAATCTTATCCAAAATAAACTAAAAAAAAAAAACACACACCAAATAAATGCGCTGGGTGCCAGCGCATTTTTTTAGGGGTGGAGATGTTTTGGCCTATTACTGTTCACTCCAGTATATCACTGTTCACTTGAGTGGATAAATGCGCTGGGTGCTAGCCCAAAGTCCTTAGGGGTAGACTTACTCTTAGTGATATCAACCACGTCATCAATCAAATTAAGGCATTCTATGTAACCAATGATTGGTGATCCATGCATAGATATCAACGAAAATAGCTTTTGACTGGTCATGGAGCCTACGATTTAGTTCAGTTATGAAAAGCTAATCCTGCTTACTTTTATCATTGATAAGACAGTGAGACCTACCCATTCAAATAAAACCCCCAATTACAAATTGAATGTTTCATGCAATTACACATTACAAACTCGATTGCAGCAAGTTATTCGGAGGTAATAAAATTCATGTTATTCGAAGATAATAAAATTCTTTGTTTGGTTTAACATCTAAATTTGTGAGGGTTCCGATTGACGGGTACCAATTTTTGGTTAGCTATCCAAATTTACCATTTTTGCGTACTTAAACATGATCGATCACAAAGCGATGCCTCTACATGGGACACTGAGTTTGCATCTAGGATGTGGTTAGTATGAGGTATATGTAGAAAATGAAGGGTGTATGAAGAGAGTGCAGGGTTTGAGGGTATTATGAAAAAGTACGTGAGGTGTATTAAGTAAGACAAACTTCAACTAAAAAAATAAGTGTGAGGTGTATAAAGTACGTGAGTTGTATTAAATAATATGTAAGTGTAATTAAAACAACCCTTTTTAAAATATTTTTTTTCAATCTTTCATTTCCACTTTACGCCACGTTTGGCTTATCTCTATAGTGTCTTAGATTCTTAGCACATAAGTTAGTGTATTAACTATTGAGCCAAACAAGTGCCTTTCATATCAAGGGCAGTTTGGGCATCAATCCAAATATCTAAAGGAACCTTCCGCTTTCGCATTCCCTTTTCCCTATCGGATTTAAAGAATGCATATAATATGTAATCCCACCTTGCTAGCTTCCCATTTGGCGCCTATATATACATGCCCATAAGATATCAAATTCCATCACCAAACCAATCTACTACTAGTAAGTTGCATGCAAACCCACAAGCTTCGTTACCTACATTTGCTCTATTTCCACAATTTTCGCTCACATTCCCATCTAGTTTCTTGGCTTCCACACAAAAGTTCCTTTAAGTCTTTAAACCCTAATCCGATATCGTAAGCATCCTTACCAACTAATTTTCATTTAGCCACATATACATTCCACTTCTTGGGTACATTTTAATTTCTTTCTAGCTATTTGAGAACAACAGTATATCCATTAATGGATCGTGTAACAAAATTGGCATCACAAAATGCCGTAGTGATATTCAGCAAGAGCTCGTGCTGCATGTCCCATGCAGTCAAGAGACTGTTTTACGAACAAGGGGTAAGTCCTGAAATCTATGAGCTCGATGAGGAGTCAAGAGGGAAGGAGATGGAGTGTGCTTTGACAAGGCTAGGTTGCCAACCTTCAGTGCCTGCTGTCTTCATTGGTGGCAAATTTGTAGGCTCAGCCAATACAGTCATGACACTTCATCTCAATGGGTCGCTAAAGAAATTGCTAAAAGATGCAGGAGCATTGTGGCTCTAATTAGCAACATTAATTAGCAGATGCTCCACTTAATATGTGTCTCAAATAGTTAAAAGGGATAACTTAGTTGTATTTTTCCTTTTGCTTTCCTCTTGTTACATCCAGCGGCTTAAAGTACAATGGAACTACATATCACTTTTGAGTATTTGTCTAAATATACTTTTTGAAGTTTAGCACTATATACAGGTAATCTTTTTCTCTCACATCATCCACGTACATAATACTTTACTAAATATCTGTCCCTATAGATCAAACTTTTAGTAGCTGTAACCCAAAAGAAAATGCATCATACAATATTGTTTCAGATTGATATATACTAATATAGTGGGTTGAATTAGCTAATTAAGAAAATGAATAAATGGAAGACAAAAGAAGATGTTTAGCATATGCCACCACAAACAAAATAAATAAGGCTAGGATGCTTTCTGAGTAAATTAATTAATTTGCCTATATAGCTAGGTTAGTGCCATGCAAAAGCATTATTCGGACGCGAAATGGCTGAAGATCGGTGCATAAATTTGCGTCACGTACCCTCTTGAGTAAAACTCTGAAATTCTACCGGCGGAGATGTTCCATTTCAATTGCAGATGTCTTGTCAATAATGAAAATTATGGATATATTATAAAGAACTTTAACGAAAAGATTATGTTACTGTTTATTTTAACGAAAAATCATATTTTTACACTAAACAGTCAATTCTGGTACTATTCATTTTACTCTTTATTTTGTCTTTATCATTAAAATTCAAAATTTTCAAACCATTTTCATTAATTTTCTTTATATTATATTCTTTGATGGCTAAATCTAAATTAAAATTGGATTATCGGCTTTATTGCAGCTATATGAACATATATATCCTTGGTAGTGTTGTTCCATCACGCATATATGGCCCTTCCAGTAATCCGATGTTCATCTGGACAGCTTTGAGCCTTACATAAACACATGTGGCCTTTCCAATTTATAAATGCTTATTCCTGTTACCCTTGTTTACAATAAAAAATATTATTAGGCCTTGGTTTGGCCTAATAAGACAATTTGCAAAGGAAATTTAACTTGGACTTTTAGGGTGCGTTTGTTGCACCGGACTGTCTCGGACTGGACTAGCTTCAGGGATTAAGCTGGACTGGCTTAGACTAGACTAAACTGGACTAACTTAGTGAAGCGTTTGGTACAGTGTCGGACTAAGAAGCAGGACTATAATATTATATTATTTAATCTATATTTATTAATATTTTATTTTTTATTTAATATATCAATTAATATTTTGTATTACTTTATCTTTTGTCCTATTTTTCTAGAACCATCTTCCTCTACAATAATCAAGGAACCTAGAAGAAATTATAACAACATGACTGACCCACAATCAAAACCAAAATTTTACAGCAAAATCAGGCAGGACTCTCTCTTCTTCGTTGGAAATTAGAAGCATCAGCAACAAAGGAGAGTTGCTACTCCCCTCTCCTCCTCCAAGCCTTTTTTTCTTCTAATTTTCAATTTATAAATCTAATCTTCAATCCGTTTTTGTCTACCCGACCACCGATTCAAGCCCATCAACCCTCTCCCTCATCTTCTCCCTCCTACTCTGGTTTAGATGCAAATCAGTTTTTCTCCAATTGTAGATTTAGATATTCCAGCGGAGAAGGAATAGGCGGAGGCCATGCGGAGAAAGAATAGGCGGAGGCCATTCCATCTGAACATTAGGGCTCGACCATTTGGTTAGGGTCTGATAGGGATTAAGTGGGAATTCGAAGGATTATTTGATTTGGGGATTTAGGGTTTTTGGTGGTTGCTAGATCGTGAAGGGGAGGTGCGTTGAGAGAGAGGCGTTTCTGATTTATTGGATGTCGTCATCGCGGCCGATAAAGGTTGAGGACGCTAGGAAGACAACGATGTTGAGTAGCTTCGAAAGGTGAGGACGAGAACGCGAGAGAGAGACGGTCTTAGCAATCCCATGGGTTTCGGGGGGTCTCGCTAAGACCGTTTAGTGAGGCATCCAATCCGGGCGAGCGAAACTTAGTCCCACTTAAGTTAGTCCACACAAATAACAAACAAGGGATTGGACTAATTGTTAGTCCAGTCTAGTCCAGTGAGGCCTAGTGAAGAGAAACAAACACACCCTTAGTTTACTCTAAATGAACAGTGTATTAGGACAGATGATACGTCATCTATTCTATTGAGGAAAAATAGTTTGGAAAAACTAAATGTGGTTAGTTTTGTTATTAGTTGTGGTTAGTTAGAATTGTAAAAGTTTAGTTAAGGAAGTTAAGGGTATAAATGTAAAGAGCCCAAGGCTATATATATACACATCTATGTAATTGTTTATTGACTGAAATGAAATACAATCTTGTAGAAGAAGCTTTGCTTTTCTTTATGGTATCTCGCCTTATCGCTTCACAACATCGTTTCCACCTTCTGCATCGATCGATCTTCTCTTGATCGTTTCTTGTTGTTTCAACTTTGATTCTTCGGTTTTTCTTCTCCGATCTCTCTTCTGTTCGTTGATTGCTTCTTGTTTTGGGATCATGGCTTCTCCATCTGAATCGTCCCCAATTGGATTGTCTTCTCCGAGTCAAAACCCTAATTTGGCTTCTAATCCTCCTTCTCTGAATTCGTATACTTCTCTTACGATTCACAACATTGGAAGTATAGTGCCGATCAAATTGAAAAGCTCCAACTATCTTCCATGGCGAGCGTTGTTTGCTCCTATTTTTTGGCGATATAAGCTTCTTGGTGTGATTGATGGAACTGAGATTTATCCACCGCCTCTCTTGTCTGATCGCTCGCTGAATCCTGCTTTTGAGGAATGGTATGAAAAAATCAGAATCTCCTGATCTGGTTGAATTCCACACTTTCTGAAGAGATAATTCTGTTCACGGTTGGGGTTTCGTCTTCTCGCGAGCTTTGGGTGAAGCTTGAACAGCGTTTTGGTGGTGTTTCGGAGGCTTACATTCATCAATTGCGATCTCGTCTTCAATCGGTTCAGAAAGGTTCCAATTCTATCTCTGTTTATCTCCAGCAAATCAAGGAAATTACGGATTCATTACATGCTGCGGGTTCTTCTGTCTCCGATCGTGATCTCATTGTTGCCACTTTACATGGTTTACCTGATGAGTTTGAGTCATTCATCGACTTTATCATGCTTCGCTTGTCTTCTACGTCTCTTGATGAACTTCACGGTCTCTTACTTACCAAGGAACTTTCTATGGCTCGACGGAAAACAGTCGCCTCTGCGGTTGAACCTTTTCAGGCCTTCTCAGTGCAATCTCAGCCTCATCTACTTCCTACTCCCTCTGCCTTTGCTGCTCAGTCTTCACCTCTTCAATTCAAATCTCATTAGCTGGAGTGCTAAGAAACAAAGCACGGTTGCTCGTTCCTCCACAGAAGCCGAATATAGGTCTCTGGCTCACACCGCTGCAGAACTTACTTGGGTCTGTAAAATTCTGCGTGATCTTCACTGTTCTCTTCCTAAACTGCCTACACTTTGGTGTGATAACCTCTCCGCCATCTCCTTAGCTTCCAATCCTGTCTTTCATGCTCGTACTAAGCATATCGAACTTGACTACCACTACATTCGCGAACTGGTTTTAGCTCATCTGCTTAAAGTGCAGTTTGTTTGCAATGCCGATCAATTGGCTGATCTACACACTAAGTCTTTGTCCAAAACCAGGTTCCGCTACTTGTGTTCCAAGCTTCCTCTTGGCATCAATTCTGATTCCACCTCTCGCTTGAGGGGGTGTATTAGGACAGATGATATGTCATCTATTTATGTTGAGGAAAAATAGTTTGGAAAACTAAATGTGGTTAGTTTTGTTATTAGTTGTGGTTAGTTAGAATTGTAAAAGTTTAGTTAAGGAAGTTAAGGGTATAAATGTAAAGAGCCCAATGCTATATATATACACATCCATGTAATTGTGTATTGACTGAAATGAAATACAATCTTGTAGAAGAAGCTTTGCTTTTCTTTACAATGCATGCCTAAATTGTTTTTAACTTGTCAAAAATACCATAATCTCAGTCTTTCCTATTGACTGAAGAGAGTATTAAATGCGAAGTACTTTGGTGTTTTAGAGGGAAGGTGATCATGAATTTAGGCAAAACCACCGTATTGGTTATGCTGATCTTCATTCACCCCCAAAATATTTTGGATTATTTTCCTATTAATGCATCATTTTTTGGAAAGTAATCCTAGGTCGGCTTCAAATGAGAACATAGGAAGCATTGATGGAAGAGATGGATGGTATATTAAATACAAGCGAAGGACATAGAGGAAAGAACACTCAAATCATATAACAAAACATACTACAAGCTTTCAAACTAAAAGCTCATGAGACAACTTGAAACCAAGACCTTAGAACTTTAGGAAACCTTCCTTTAGACTCTAAGACCAATTAGAATTTGCTCCATTTCCATCTCTTTTGCATAGTATCAATTAACTAGCCTTAAGACAATTAGTCTGTTTGGTTGTAACCCTTTACAAGGAAGCATTTTTACCCAATCAGAGCTCAATCGATTGTTCTTAATTCATATAGGTATGTACTTTGCTTGATTGTGATATTAAGCAATATTAATATCAATTTCAGTTACTTATTGCTTTTATTGCTTACTGTCTTTACTTTCTGTTGTGAATGAATGACGTGATATGTTTAAATATAACTAGTTTGTATTTAACCCCATCTATGTAGTTTATGATCCAACATCAAGAAACAATTAAAGTTCTTAACATGCAAGACATTAAAAAGTACCAAACTTGAGCCAAACGTTGGCACAATTCTTTATAAAAAAAAGTTCTCCTACTTGTGGTGCAAGTACTCAATATACATATAATGTATTCTAATATATTACAATTTTATGTTGGCAGAAGCCAACAGTGGCACATCTGATAATTAACAAACCAAATGATTAAGCCTCTTTGAAGGCCAAAGTGTGAAGCCTATACCAACTGAGAAACAAAACTACTCTGCGAGCCAACAATGTTTGTTTTCACACGAACAACATTGATCATCATGATCATCATTTGGTATTGTTATGGAGTGTGCTAGTAGAATATATGAAGTTATGTTCCCCTTTCGATGTACTAGCTCATCTCATAGCGCTGTTACGCACTCAGTAACAAATTCAGAAGTTTTTCTTTCCCGAATAA